AGAGAGAGAGAGAGAGAGAGAGAGAGAGAGAGAGAGAGAGAGAGAGAGAGCACACACTTGGTTTTCTTTGGACTATTCTGGCAGTTTCTTTCAATGTGCCCTCGTTCTCCACATCGATAACACTTATTCTTCCAGTCCCCAGCTTTGCAATCTCGAGCCCAGTGCCCATCAAGTCCACAATTGAAACAGCGTCCTGATCCAGGAGGAGGCCCTCTCCCAAGATACTCACGAGATCCGCCAGGACCCCGTGGTGCCTGAATGCAAGCCAGACATCAAGCAAAATATTAATGACATTTTCTGCTACATTACGAGAGGAGGGAGGGAGCACAAATATCAGGCAAGACAAAAAATAATTATAAAACTAGACCCATGCCACTTTATTTAATGATAAATCAATTGGGCAAACAACTATTCGGGGGTTAAACTCTGCAATGCATGATAACAAAAATCAAACAAAAAACATGGGTCAGGAACCACTGGCAATAATATACTAGTAGCACACATTGCCAAAATATGAGAAGCATTCTAAGCAAATAAGTCAGAACATACCCCCCTTGCAAATTCCACAATTAGACGGCTCCCATCAACATCCCGACCGTTCAGGCTATACCTTGCATCATCAGCATCCCGAGGGTCACTAAATTCCTGTTTTCAAGTAACAAAATAGAACAAGCGGAAGATAAAATTTGCAAAAAGAATACGGATAATTTGGGAAGGAAATAGATGATGAAACCACAATAATCAAGTGGAAGAATGGATGAGCACATGCCTGTGCATGTGTGCGCCTGTGTGTAAGTGAGAGAGAGAAAGAGAGAGAAGGGTACATACAACAAAGGCAAAGTCGCGCTTCATATCCACATCACGTACTCTGCGTAAACGGGTTCCAGAAACAGTAAGGCCATCATGACACAAGCATCAAAGGGATGATACTTCGCCCCTCACAGATCAACTAAACACCACTTTGAGATTGTTGCCATTTCCATTAAAAAACGCAATAATATTATAGAAAGACTCGCCAAATCCACCAATTGGACCTCTCACCAAGACCTCCAGGTTTGGCAAAAGCCAAGAAACCTTCAACAAGATCATTGAAGTTAAACCAAAGGGACACGTGGAGGGGTGAAATGTTCTCACGAAGATAGAAGAAATACACACTTAAGTAGCACAAGCACTGGCTTGGCAAAGGTTTCATTGTCTCCTAAAACCCATATTCTTAAATTTGGACAACCTCCAATGACCACTAATCCAGAACAGAAAGTAAAAGACGGCAAAATACCCAGAAGCAGATAGGAATACAAATATAGGATTTATTCACTGTTAATTGCATAGAGTGTCGAATAGGTAAATACACAAACACATATTCTCAATGATGCTTGCTTATTTAATGGAACTGGAAGTCCCAATGAGTCTTATGGATTTGTACATGAAGGTAATACAGTATGGAATTGCAAACAAGAAAAACAATGACAAAAGGACAGACTCACGTATACTCCATTGAACTGTGAAAACTCATGAAGCATTCAACCAAGCAGAACAATCAAGAATTGTCTAACCCTTTTTTATCTATGTAACATAACCATCCCAAAACAAAAGGAATCTCCTACAACTCGTAAAAATCATTTTGCTTACCTTCCATATCTGCTAAATACGTCTTCAAGTTCGCGTGATCTTGTCCGTGATGACAAGCGACCAACATAGAGCCGTGAACCACCATGGCGGTCATCATGTCGAGGCATTTTACCTGCAACAAATATGAGTCATCTTTGAGCGCAACCATACCCACTATTTTAAAAGCATACATATGGAATTACATATTCAGAAATTCATCTTGGAAATAAAGATGGGGAAAAAAAAGGATTGCATCTCAAACCATACAAGGAGGTAAATAACCAAACTTATTACAGAATCCATAAGATAACACTTGAATAAGATGTTTGGATTCATAGCAAAGCAATGTTTCATATTATTCTTGGTGGAAACAAAATTAAGAAAAAAGAATAAAATGAGAAAAATACCAAATTCTAAAAACCAAACCACTAATTTCACAGATTTCTATATAAGAGAATGCAGACATACAAATTAAATTAATAGTGCCATTTATGCTCCCTGAGATACAGACACACAAAACTCTTTTCCTATTTTGCCAGCCGAAAGGTCATCAAAAATAAAAAGTATAAACAGACCAGGGGGGGAAAAAGCTTCAATCCAGAAGCCAAAGATATAACCTAAATACTTCATATGCATAATTCAAGCATACTTCAATATATTCATGGCCAATTCAACCAAAAACATTTTCGACCAAAACAAAAAATTCAACCAAAAATATCACAAACTATGCATACACATACAACAAAAATAGCCCAATCTTAATCCTTTTTCTGTGTCCTGGAATTCATCTATTTGGTAGCTCATTGACCACAGAAATTCGGAAAAATAAAAAGCCTGAATAGGTTGGAAGTAAATCTAATCGGAAATATAAATCCCTAAATCTCAGAAATTGTTGCAGGGAAGAAAAAGAGAGAGGGAAAGAGGCGCACCTGAAGAAGACGAGGCTAGCAGTATCCAACCCTAGATTTCTTTCGGCAAGAGAACCCAACTTGCTTTCCTCTCTTTGTATTTATAGCGCAGGATAAGATTTTTAAATCTATAACAACCCTTCAATTCGTTTAAATTTACGAGTCCAACCATGCTGCTGAGTGCCGACAAGACAATGACTGCTGGAGCTGAAAATAAAATAAAGTTTTCTCACCGTCTTTCTCTTTTTAACCACTTTCACTTCAGTTTGTTTTTTTTGTTTTCTCGTTTCTTTTATCCACTTTACTAATATAGATCGAATAGAAACCAATTTATTTTTTTCCGAATAGTAAAAAAACCAATATTTTCCGATAAACGAATTTGGTGGCTGATGCTTTTGCTAATTTCGGACACAAAGTTTCTCTCAAGACTTGGTTCTACAATTTTAGGTTTGGTTGGTGACCCCCTTGCAATTATTTCGTTTTATCAACTCCGAACTCGTTTTTGTCAATGGAGTCTAGCCTGGTGGAAAATGACTTTAATTTGCAGGCATGGGCGGAACCAAGGCAAGGGCTGCCCTTGGCTGTAGCCCAGGGAAGATTTGGGGAAAAAACAAATTAAATATACATATAGCCTAATATTTTAACTATATATATACACAATTTCAACACCAATAGGCATAGTTAGAGGTCTTCCACATTTGTATTTGGTGTCAAAGTTTGTCCCAACATCAATTTTAAAAATTTTATATTAATTTGTCTCCAAAAGAGAAGCACTTTTCTAAATGAAATTCACCATTTCGTGAATAATATGGCTCTAATTTCTTCTTTTTTTCTTCTTGTGTTTACAATTAGCTTGATATATATAATTTAATGTATACTTTTATTTCTAGAAAAACTACAGAAAATGTAAGTACAAAAAAAAAAATTATCATTAGATTTTAAGCTAATAACTTTAGCTAGCCCACCCATTGAAAAATTCATGGTTCCGCCCTTGTTTGCAGGTCAAAGGTTTCATGTTCGAATCCCTACGGCATCATAGTTGTGTGTGTGTGTGTGTGAGAAATCTCTCTCTCCTATAATTTAGACTATCACTTGTACTCAAATGAAAAATCAACTCCAGACATCCTCCCACTAAGTAGAAAGTGAGTACTATATCTACATGTGTAAATATCGAATACATTTTAAATCTAATAATTATACGGTAAGGAAATTATCAGAAAAAGTAGAGGATATCAAATTACAAATATAGCATCATACACTCGACAACAAAACATTCACAAGGAAATCCAAATATATCCGGGGGATGCAGTTTGATATGAATCTACAACTTGTACCAGTGTTTGATCTCACTGATACAGTCCTATTATATTATATCTCTCCCCTCAGTCCTTCTCCTTGATAGTTTTGTAGAACATACACCATCCCTATGGCTGTCTGTTGCCGTCAAGGTTGCACAGTAGTTCTTTAGCCACGCAGAAGCAGATTCGAGGATACGAAGCTCGCCACTAAGGAGATCCCGAGCCATTTGCCTCCGGTGAGAAAGTCTTTCACACGTAACAGGAGAACTTACCGGCCCCAAAGACTATGCATGCACTCAAAAAGCACAAAAACGAATTACTACATGTGTATTCAGATGTGCATATGTAAATCAAAGATGAGCATAAGTTATTCCACCCTCTTTACATGTTTATTACTGCTGCCTAAATGCCTATGAGGCAAATATGTTACAATATGCAGCTGATTCAACATACCTCTGTTGGAGATAAGCAAACAAATTTAAGCAACATTTGTAATTGGTGTACTGTCGCGTGAAATAATGCATTATAACACAAAATAATGAACTCTTGTTGGACTTAGATTAGGCACGTTCGGCAAAAGAATCAGAGAAAGAAAGGGCTGAAAAATTAGCATCTCTACCTTAACAGATGCATCATAATCCTCAGCTAATTGGGTTAATGTTGATATCAACATCTGATGGGCTTTAATCTCTCTGCAGTTGTTCGTTAAAGGACGCCGAGCCAATCGTCCATCATGTTGTGCAGCTTCCTCGACCAGGTCACTAAGTTCTGAATACCAAGAAACAATGAAGAAAAATTTAATGATGTGGTCATAAAAGGGTAAAATGAGCTCGGAATCATATCAAACAATGCATGACACCAAGGTAACATGAAACACACCTTGAGGAGAGGTGCAACATTGAACACGAGCAAATGCACGAAGTGATTGTGGAATTCCTTTCCCTTTTCCACTACCAGACCTGATTTCCCTATGTCGTGACAGGATTATTATTAATCAGAAATAGATTTTTCATCACAAGATATCATGTCAACATGCGGATAACCCAAATAAACAACATTATTATATACAGCCATAGAGCAACTAACCAGTAAACTACTTAAGCTCACAAAGACTTTGCCAGTAGTGATTTAAGTGAACAAGTGCACAATATATAAACACAAAAAACAGAATATTTGGTGACTTCACAAAGTGCCACTAGATGCAAGGGATAAAGACCATCATGTAGGCAAAGGAACAGGAAGAGGGGAAAAAAGTGAGAGATAAGTCCATGCATCACTACCAACTTGATAGTGAAAGAATCCATTGAAGAGCTGAAACCATTGTCATCTTTACTGACTGGTCTGTGATGTCTCTTCAAAAGTTCCAACTTCATTTCACGAAGGTTGTCATGATGAGGTATGCTGCCCTGGATCTGGACCTGAAAATAGAGCCACAGGCACCCCTAACAATGAACTTCAATTTTTAAGGGAATTTTTTAAAGAAAGGAAATCTGATTTACCTAATATTGTTTATGTGAAGGTGGAGTCCAATCAGTTGATAGTCATGTTTGTACTAGAAAATTAAGGAAACAAAACAATTAATGACAAAACTTTTGGGGCACATGGAGATTCTCTTCACAATAATTCCCAATCGATAAGTTATAAGCATCTATACGACATGTAAACAAGACCAGAAGCTTATAGGAACACTGACCGAGTTTCATAACTCTCAAACTCAAGACTCCTGAATTGTAGTATATATGCTACCATGAAAGCCAATCCAACTTATCAAAGAGGTTCAGACCCAAAAGGAAAAAACTTATCACAGACGTTTTTATTAAGTACTAGGCCCAAAAACAAAAATTCTGAAAATAAAAACAGAGCTAGCTCTGTTATTAAAACAAACTTTTAGTCGATGTGTTAAATAAAACACATCAAGTTTTTATATTTTTGGTTTGGTCAGAAAAATACATCAAACAAGAAGTATAAATTAAGCTACAGAAAGATTATCCCGCAATAACAAAGCATGTGTTGTGAATACTCAAATTGAAGACCAAGACTGACCTGGTCATGAATGTTGTATGGAAGGGTAAACCCAAAGTCCAACAGCAGGGTAGCATTTGAAAATTTTCCATATCTTATTAGTACCTATACAAATATATCAAAGTAAAGTCTAGAGTTACAACTATAGATGAGTAATGCTGCAACATACCCATAGTCACAGAGTTACAACCCAGGATGTTGCCATGTATATTATCCATTCATAACATATAAACGCATGCTGGAACAAAAGCATGATATGGGAGATTTATGAAAAGACAATACATGACAGACAGTAATGAAAACCGAACTTCCAGTAATTTCTAAACATTAAACCCACTGCATATCTCAAGATTTATTGTGTTGCTTTTTTCTCTAACAAAGATCCTATGTGCATGTGCTGTGATCCTATGTTAAATTAAGAGTTATGCTAAGTCATTACTACAAATACATAAGAAATTAGCAGAAGGTCATGAAAATTTCAAACCCAAACAAGACACATCTAACGCAAGTATGAATGAAAATGTTAATGAACTATCTACCAAAAACAAAGACAAATTCATCAATTTTTCAAACCAAAAAAAAATATTCAAAAGGGTACATGTAATTCTTTAAACAGGGGAGAAAGTCATCCCAATTAAGTAGCATCTAACCTGTTCACCAGGAGTATAATTACGATCAGCAAGTACCTGCCCAGAAACAAGTAGCATATGCCACAACTTATCTCAATAACTAAACCAAAAGAAAGAAAAATGAAATAAAAAATAATTAATTTCCATAAGAGTGCAGACTGAATTCCTATTACCAAATGAATAAGCATGGCAGAAAATCAACACACCGAGAGAAAGAGAGGGTACCTCTGAAAAAAGTTTGTCTTCATCACTCAACACAATTGATTCTGAAGTCCCGTCATGATTCAAAAAATCAGCAAATGGGATCTATAGAATAATTTAATAATCCAAACAATTATGCAACTACAAAAAGGCACACATTAAATTAAACTCCATCATAACAATATTTACTTGAAATCTGTATAAATGTTTACCAGGGAATAGCCCTTTGTGCTTCCCCATGCTCGAGAAGTAACTGTAAAATCCATGGCGAACCAGCGAGAATAAGTTTTAAAAGATCTTTAAGAGATGCAACTGCCACAAGTAATTTGGATGCAATTTTAAAGTTTTAGGGGCACTCCAAGTCCTAAAGCATATAACATGCCCACCCCACCATTCCCTAATTTTATTCAAAAGTTGTAATTAAGTACAATTGGAGCAAATAATTATGACAGATTAGAACAAGTAAATGGTTTAAAACGTAGTTGCTTACCTAAAGCATATGCATGCATGAAATCCTCATAGGTGATACTTTCGAATGTTTCAGGAAAGTTCTTGAGAGCCTGAAAATATATCTTAACAATATTCATAATCTAAGAGGCAATAACTAAGAAGAAGTGCAACAACCCCATGTCCCAAAACCATTAGCTAGAGAATAAAACAATCAAAGTACATCATACCGTCCTAATTGCCAAAAACTCCTGTTGTATTTGAGATCTTTGATTAATTGTTTCCTGATACACAGAGCTTTGACGAATCATCTCCAGCTCACCTTCGCTCCAAAATATCTAAGAATATACAAATAACATCCATGTCAAATATGGTGCAAATTGCTGTGATTCAAGAAATGTATACAACCATACAAATTAAAAACACGTTATGGACTAATATCAGGTAGATTCTTATTTCAATTGACAGAATAACAACATAACGTGCTAAATTTCTCCAGCAAAAACATTATCCACATGC